GTCGGCCCTTGCTGCCTCTATCTTCTGTGCCAACCTGACTATCTCCTCGTTCAAAGCACGATTTTGCGCGTCTAGATTATCGAGGGTATTGTCGTTGATATGTAGCAGGCGCCGAACCATTTGTATCTGTTGATCGAGTCGACTTGGTTGGGAAGGAGGATTCATTGGCGAGGGCTGCGGAATTAGCTCCGGAATTAGGGAATTTTTCTAGTCTCGTACTCAATTCTCCTGAAGGTGGGAGGTGGTGGGGGGGCTTCGAAATTTGGCGGATCGTTGCGTGCGCGTCAGTTCAAAAAATCAACAAAACAGAGAGAAGGGCGTGGGCTAAAGCGTCTGGGTCGAGCTGGGGCGTGGGAGCGGAGGCCGACAAGACATGCGGATTACTAAGTTGCGTGCACCTAGTAAACTACACGAATACTTGGAGAAGAGGCCGGCCCCTGATCTTCATTGCACTTCAATCCAGTGACTTCGTACCCAAGGACTTGCGGTCAACGTGAACCTACCATGCACGTCAGCCTGGAAAAGGCACGTGTACCCACCCGCGCACCCGCTGTCTACAAGCTGCACATCTCCCCTGGCCTTATGCAGTGTGATATGCGCGGGCCGCTGATCGGCATATGCTTCACTGGCATGTCGTGGGTGCATAATACTGGATACAGCCTAATGTATGCAATAGACTGGGGAAAATGTTCCAGATAGGCCAAACGCAGTCTCGAGCCAAACGCCTTTGTTTTTAGCTTCCGGCACATTAAGCTCGGGGGTTTGAGGGGACAGCTAGGTACTCGAGCACTCTGTAATCTGTACAGGGAAATCTTGAAAATAGAAGGCCATCCCTTAACAGCACGAAACTACACAAAATTGGGTGCCGGTGGAGACCGAGGGTTATTGCATAAAACTGGGATTCAAGTGGTCTGTGATCCTACTCTCTAAGCCTAATCGATTTGCAGAGACATCAAGCTAAACGCAACAGTGCGAAGAACTACATAATCTCCACCAGCACCCAATTTTGTGTAGTTTCGTGCTGTTAAGGGATGTGAATTTGTGACGCCTTTCCGTTCACAGGTAAAACTATACCTAATCGAACCTAATCGAGGGCAGCTCTGTAGTTAGCCATGCACCGTCCGTTGCAACGAAATTCTTGATGTCTCAAGAGTTGACATGGCCTGTTGATGCTTTTACTAGACAGTCCTATGCCTGCATCTACACAAGGATGGGTACAACAAATACCTACTCGTGACCGACTAGCTATAGTACCGCCTCTACTGGCCGCATAAACTGGGAATTAAAAGCCCTTTCAATTGCTCCAATATTTGCATCCAAAGATAAAACTGTACCTCTTTGAATCAGATTATAATTATGCAGACCGTTTTCTGGCACCCGTTGCAAAGAAACTCCGAGACTCTTTTGATATCGACAAGGGCTCTTTATTCTCGCGTAAGGACTGGTAAGCATGGCCCCCTGTCGGTCGTGCTCCTCAACGTGCACCAGTCATTCTGCTTGACTTGGCTTACAACCAAAGACAGCATCATGGGGTTACGAATTAGAGTTGGGTACAAGGTATAAAATACTCCGGCCTTAAGCATATCGTCGGGCACTGGAGGGTTTATGCTTACATCGAATTCATGCTTCCAGACGACTCCCGCTATAATTATAAGCACACCCAATACAAGGGTAAATTCAATATAATCATACTATGATCTGCTCTGGGTCATGATCATCTTCTCCACCAAACACCTCTCGTTACAAGCATATTAGGTACATACTCGTTATAGGCATGGGGAGTACCTTCTCCCACGGTATGCCTATGATGGGAGTCATCTGTATCTCACCATATTATACTGCATGGACCTAGGCACAGCCGTTACAAGAATAAAAAGTATGGCGCCCACTTCAATAATGTCAAATAAGAAATCTATCTACGATTAATTAGGACCACTCATTTGACAATATTGTATTGTGTAGTTCAACAGCTGCGTACTCTTGATGAATAAACTTGTTTTAAAACTTAGCAAGAGCCGCCGAATTAAGTCATTTTAATAGCGGGCGTTACAATAAATATACCTTTGCCAATCCCAGTATGCACATGGGCAAAGGTCGATATGGCGCGGCTTCCCGATCATAAATGTCGGCGCTGTAGCAACACAAGTTGAGGGTAAGTGTTGCCACAGTGACCATCGGCGTAAACAGCTTCTAGATGCTCATGGAATCAACACCTCGAAGGTTTTGAGTCGACGCTGAAACACCTGGAAAAGTCTGGAATCACGTCTGATCTTGAGTCTCGAGTCGTGGATCAATGCCTCGAAAAAAAATACAAAAAGAAAAGAATAAGGAAGCATACCTGCGACACCAGGGATTCCCACGTGGTCACCCACCGTAGTACTGGCCTGGCGATCTGAAGCTTAGATATGGCAGAGCGGACGGGATGCCTCGTGTTCTTCAGTCTATGGTCGCAGATGCTAGAAGATCCCATGCTAACAGCTAATACTTGAAAACAGTTATGTTGTACGCCATACTAGATTATCATCCTCGTCACATGCTCCGTAGAATCGTCAAATTCCTGCTTGTCACAAGCGGAGAAGGCCAGGCCGGTGGGGGTCACTAGGGGAAAATGCGGGGAACCCCCCTGGCCATGATGTCGTGCAGGTAACGTAACGTCCGTCATATATGTTGTGCAAAAGGAAAGTTTAACTTTAAATTAAGTGTGAGACAACCCCCCCGTGGGGTTCGGTGAATGCAGCTTTCCGTTATACAATATTCAGTATATATGCGGAGTTTGCGTAAGTACGAACCCCTTGTCCGCATTGTCTTACAGATTCAATTCACCAGTCTCCGCGGGTACGTTTTACCAAGTGCCGTCAAATACTTCATGGCCACGACGTTGAGACAAATGCCAACACCCGCTAACGCACCGGTTTAGGCTATAGCGTAGTACAGGGCCGTCTATATACGGTAGTGTCGCCCAGTACGGATACACAGACTCTCGGTGAGAGTCGGCTTCACAATTGGATGCAACCCCGCATTTTAGGTCATGTGATACCAGGTTCTGGCGGTGATATATAGGTTAGGTGGCCCGGTAGTCTATCGCAACGCCTGGAGACCCCTCAATCTCAATCTCAATCTCAATTAGCCACACCTTAACTCAATTGCCCACGAAACCACATCTCGTACCCCCCCCTCCTCCACAAAACAACTCGCCATGGCCACCGACTTTGCTGCCCCGCCAGCCGACGGCGACGCCGGCATCGTCCTCTACGACATCGCCTTCTACAAACCCTACAACGTCTCCACCAGCGCCCCAAACCCCTGGAAGGCGAGGTACGCCCTCAACTTCAAAGCCGTGCCGTACAGTACCCGCTGGGTGTCCATGCTCGACATCTCCTCCGTGCGAAAATCCCTCGGCATCCCCGCCGGCAGGAAATTCGCCGACGGCACAGACTTCTACACGCTCCCGTGCCTCGTGGACTCTGCCAACGACGTCAAGCTCGGCGACTCGTTCGACATTGCGACATATCTGCAGGACACATACCCCGCTGCGGGCGTGGGGGAGCTTTTCCCCGCGCAGGAGTTGGAGTTCCGCTGCCCCGGGCTGCCGGAGGAGGTGCTGGTGCCGCTGTCGAAGGAGAGGGATGTTGGCGGGGACCGCGTGAGGGCGGAGTATGCGCGGTTCCAGACGCACGTGGACATGGCGTTCTCGTTCCACGCGCAGCTGAGTGTGAGCGGGATGCGGTGGGACGAGGAGATCAATGGGGCTGTTCGGGCTGAGTTTGCGCGGCGGACGGGGTTACCCTCGTGGGAAGCCCTTCAGATCCAGGGGGACGCGAGGGCGGAGTTGCTGGAGAAGTTGAGGGCCACGTTGGGGGCTTTGGGGGACATGTTGGGGAGGGATGAAGGGGGGCCTTACTTGTTGGGGGCGAGGCCGAGTTATGCGGATTGTATTGTGGGCGCGTGGTTGAGGATGATGAGCAAGACGCTGCCGGAGGAGGAGTGGGAGCAGTTCAGGGGGTGGTATGGAGGGGTGTTTGGAAGGCTGCATGATGCCCTGCAGGAGAAGTTTGGGGATGTGAAATAAGCCATCGATTTGTATTACTTTAGACAATCAAGAGGTAAGAGTGCGTTGAGAGGGCACGTCAATATCTAAATTCCTATCTCCTCCGTGGTTTGAAAAAATCGTTGTAAACGGAACTCCGTAGATCTCGAGTGGGGGCCATGGCATCGGGATGAATATTCGCGGGTAATGCAACACACTTCCGGAGGAGAGGTAATCTGCTTCCTCCAAACACATAACTAAATACACGAGCGAAAAACTTGAGCTTTGGGATATCGATGCACGAAACACAATAAGACCTATCCCGCATGTCAGTAACCACCCCTCCAAAGCCATTTAATTGCCCGACAGGCCTCCAAATTGTGATGGTCCGGGCGAGTAAGAAGTCGATAAAGATGGTTCCGCTGCATGCTCCGCATCAATGCAGAGAAGGAGTTGGAGCGACGTGTGGGCCTTTTGTGCGGCGGAATTGGTACATTGCAATTGATTCATATTAATAGCACAGCCAATGTAATAAGTAAGGTCCGGACAAAATCGATTGACTGGCGTTTCCTCTATCCTTTCGAACCTGTTCGGTTTTCCACGTGCACCAAGCTGCCTTGGGTCAACGTTTATGTGAAAACACTGTTCTTGTGATATTACGATCGATATAATTCCCTTGCTATCCACATACAGAGTAAGCTCGATATAAGCATACCGTCCGGTGGTGAGGGTGTATGCTAATAACAAGTTTGTTCTTGTATCGAAAGGCCGCCACTAGGAAGAGTGAGGTTACTTCACCCAAAATTTCCTTATCTCATGTGACATGAAACGTTTTGCTTATGGGGCAAAATACAGGCCTATTCCTCCATCTGATACTGATCCAAAATCCCGTGTTGTCGCTAGCAATGGATAGATCAACACTGTAGCTCCAATACCAACAGAGGGACCATTACGCCACTTCATCCCATAAATAGGATGGATGGCCGAGTGGTTATGGCGTGTGACTCAAGCTCAGCAAACGTGCTTCTTACTCCTTATAGGAGTAGGTGTATTCTCATGGGGCAACCCGCGGGGGTTCGAATCCCCCTCCATTCATCATCATGGACAGGTTTAACTGTCAAATTCTTTTTTTATTCCCGATTTGTAAAAATGGGTCTGCTAGCTTTAGTCTTTGCTCGCATATCCCAGTGTGCTCCGCATTATTCTTTTTTGAAAAAGTCCTCTCGTTGCAAGCATGAACTACCAGAATACTCCCGGGCTCCCGTTATAAGGATGTACTAGTCCGGACCGGAATTTGTAGGTTGAAGTATAACGAATTCATGCTTATTTATCCCTTTGTCTGTCGAGACATACTTCAATCGACCCTGGCCACTGTGCATACACGTTAAAGCCTCAGTATTTTCGCATGCGACTTAAGCCACACCTAATATATCCTGCAACTATCCAGTAATATCAACATGCACGATGGGTCGATTCCTGAATGTCTCGACAGGCAAATTTAAGGGGTACCGGGTGATCTGGCGTGTAAGACCGCCCTGTCAAATCAAGAATTTTGGTGAATGCAACTTTCCGTTGTATGAAGAGTTTGACTCTGTCTCTGGCAGGGCGGTCTTACTTGCCAGATCCCCCGGTATATATAACGATAAGTACTTTTACAGCATAGTAACTACCTAGGTAGATACTGGGACCGCCAAACCTATATATGGTGTTTAAAACGGGGATATGTATTTCTTATATCGGGTATGCTTATAATATAACGGGAGTCGGCTGTATTCGAGGTCAATCCTTGGAATTGGCCATATTGACCAGATTACGCTTTCATACGCGGCTTGCTCTGTGTTGAGTGGATAAGTAGGACTGTCCGGGCACGTTCAAGAACAAGCTCAAGGCTGTCCGTAACTACACAGAAAATTCAAGTTTACAGTTTACATTTGGGACTGTAGCCTACTCGTGAATCTGGAACGTTCCATTCCGAGGCCCATCATCTTCTACCTAGCCCCTTGCCCAGACCCGCAGAGAGGCTTCTACTCAAGTCTAGACGCGAGAACAGCTCCTACCCGTGTTGTCATCATCTCCGTCCTCAAAGCCTGAGCACCCTCACTCCCCCGACATCTCGGACAGCATCACCGCCACGTACGGAGTCCCAACTCTCAAAACACCCCTCAAACCCACTCCCTTTACACGCTAAACCAGGGAGATCTATCCAGTAAACAAGCTCCGCTTACCAGTAAACGATAGCCAGTACGCGTGTTGACACCTCAGATACAAAGCAACGGTTTGCTGACAACTTTGGCAGACATGGCAGACTTGCAGGTGTTGAGGGCAGGAGACACGTGTGAAATTTCTCTGTTTTACGTCTATGTTATTAGTGTAAGTAAACAAGTTTGATTTGTCTCAACTAATCGTGAACGCTGTCATGGTTTTGCTATCTTCCCACAAACCCCCTTTAGAAGCTTTTTAATTACCTGCTAGTACCTACATAGTGACCTATACCAAATACACGCAACTAATATATTGTAACCACTTAGCTTCAGGATGACAAACAGGATGGCGGTTGTGGCATTTTTGCATTCACCCATCGCGCCGAGGCAGACAAGTGGTGGCTCGGCGATACCAACGAATCCGGAGAACCCCCCTTCGATCTCTACGGCTTCCAACGTGTTAATCAACAGCTGTACACCTACCCAAACGACAAACTGTTGCTTTCCTCGCCCATTCAGCATCCCGCATTCATAGGTGCTGCAGGTGCGTTTATTGCAAATACACAAGCGGGGATTACTGCAATCAATCTGCCGATTATCCCCACCTTCAAAGGGGTAGAGCATGTCAGTGGAATCTTGTACGTATTTTTAATCAGGTTCTAGACTATACAGTCCCCGTTTTCCATGCCCGAAAAGATCAAAACAAGTACTTTTAGATATTAAGCTAACTCACAACCCAACGTCTGATTAGTTACTACATCCGCACAGCAACAGTCCCACACCTCTACTGGTCCGTTCTAAAGCGAGAGTCCGGTTCCCACACTCAAGATATAATAGTCTCCGACAAACAACGTTCTCGATTTTTAATTAGCGCTAAACGCGGTGAGAAAGGCGACATCATGTTGCCAGACGCAGACACTGTCATCACGTACGACTCTGGAGTTGTAATGAAGTGTGCCGAAAAAATATATATTGATAGAACTACAGGAGAGGATTACCATAAGAAAATTGTACGTGGCATTCGTCCGGAGTGGATACAATTATCGGACCTCTTCATGGGACGTATAAAGATGGAAATGCGTTCCATTGGCATAGTTCCTATGGAGGCCAGACTTGCAGGTACTTCATCTGATGGCAGTGGTGGTGGTGACATTTGGGAGCTTGCATAGAAGCAATATGGCAGGTGAAGTAAGTGAGAAGCTGATTTTCATTGTTATGCCCTACCATTCATATTTGTAATCTAGTTGGGCTGCAACTTAGAGGTGAATATCAGAACATGGAGTTTGGTTAAGATTCTCTATGCCGTGTTGTGTTAATTCCACATTACGCATTTATAAATTACAAATATTCTCGTACATCTACAGGAAAATTGGCTTTCTGGGCCGTTATAAGTAGAACCCATAGGTTGTTTGTATGTATATGACCATAAATAATTTAAGCTTCTATTGATTGAGTATGCATACAAAGGGTGTTGCCTGTTCTGTATTCTGCAAACGCCGAGAGTAAGGCTCTATCGTCCATTAGATATAGGTACTTGCAGCAAAATGCTACTTTTTTTTTGGGACGGGGAAGGGACGATTTCATACTAAACAGCATCATACGGCCATCCGCGCACACCTTCTTTGTTTAGTAACCTATCTCTTCGCCATGTTTCACAGTACAGCTATTAGCCAGGAGGATAGGGCAGTGTAGCTACCTATGCAGTACATATGTAGATACTTGGTAGGTGCGTAATTTCAGGAGCGGGCCCATTGTAAAATATACCACAGATAAACAAAAGCAGAAAAATCAAAACAAGATCCCAATTGAATATTGAATTTAAATTTCAGAGCAAGTTACCAATACAAAAAGCCTTGAATGCAGAACACCCAAAAAACAGAAAAAGCATGGAGTATGACGCGACGAGCAATCTAATAACCAAAGAAAGAAGCAAGAAGCAAAAGGCAACCCCAAAAACGCAAAAACGGATCTAGATCCATATAGTCTTGTTATAGTAGGACGTCGTTTCCCTGCAAGAGCTTCCTGATCTTCATTAAGATATCCTTCAACTGCCACACATTGTTTGTATCCAGCCCTGCAACATTTGTGACGCGCTGCAATAAAGCGTAATTATACATGACCAAATCGATCTCTTGATTAAGTTCGGCTTGAGGTGCCATGGCGTAAATTGCTTTTCGGGCTATATATGTCTCAAGAGCAATGCGGGCGTAGGGAAGAATTGTGGCAGAAAGGTATTCCGCTTTACTGCTCACAGTTTCCATGCGGTGAAAGATGCCGAGCATATTGGAGATCTCTAGGACGGGTGAGAAGGAGGCGGGAGGGAGGCTTGAAGTCATTGTTATTGGTGCTTTTGTTTTGCTGCTGGATTGGTGATTCGATTGTTCTTTCGTGATTGCTATAGTGGATTTAGTTTCCTGGGTGTCTTCGTTCTGAATTGGAGCTGATGTGGAATGAGAAGCATCTCCAAAGACCCTGGAGGCCGTATTTCTACTTGCGCCGTCTGCTCAAAGTGGCCATATGACACAGCGGCACACTCTGGCAAATCATGGGCCACAATTGGATGGCACGGAATGCCCCCACACGTGCCCGACTTGCATGTCAAATCATTGACCAGACATGGCCTATTGGTTTTGACACGTACGCAAGAGAATGGCCAGCCTGAAGTCTAAGACCAAAATCTTGCCTCCACTGTCTCGTCTTGCAAACCGTGGAACGGTTATACATATGGCAACATGGCGATACATAACTTGCAATCGCACAGAAAACTTGTAACTAAAGACGGAAGAACTCTCCTGAGTTCCCTCTGTTATGGAAAGACAAATCCACTTAGTATTCAGCATGAATAAAGCCCCCCTTACGAATCTAACGGATGCATGCCAGTAACCCAGGGCAATGGTTATTTCCCGTTCTGTGATTTGGCTGGAACAGACTGGGCATCGCAAGGTTTGGGGCATTTGAAGGGACTCTATGATAACCCATGGGTTTCGATACATTTGCTTCTGCGCCTCATATGTTTTCATACGTAACTTCTTCATCACCCCGAGAAGAAAATTTGGTTCCCAAGGAGCAATTATGATTACTTGTATTCGAAATAGAGATTTTGGACGGCGTAAAACACAGGTCTTTGTACATATTCAATAGCAAATACAATCAGACTTTATTCATCTCTTCGGCGCGCAGTAATATTAACCTCCTTTGATAGCAGAACATCCCTTTGCTACGATCAAATATTTCTTTCTCTATGGCCTAAACCACTTATCATGACACGCTATTGGCACAATTTCCATCTCCTGCATAATCTGCAGCCCCACGCACCTAATAACCATATACATCTGCCTCGCCATAATCTCAAACTCTGAATCATCAGTATAAATCAGCGTCTTCAACACTTGGCGAGACCAACCCCGATCGATCGGCCTATGCTCAAAGAGCGGAAGTTCCACCCCCCACGCCGGGTAAGCAAAGTCTCTCAGAAAATCGGTATCATCACACAAAGGCAATTTCCCGGACCGGAAGAAAAGCTCCCATACCACGGGCGCGCAGACCATATACCAAAACTGTAGCTGGGCATTTCTGGGGTCGGTCATGGCAGACTTAAATTTTAGGAAGTGGGGCTTTACGATCGGGGTGAGGTCATCTGCGAAGTAAGTGTAGGCGCAGTTGTCGTCGAGCATGCTTCGCTGGACCCGGATCTCTTCAATGAGATCTCGACCGAGGGGGATGGTTGGAGGGGGCTCTCGTGCGATGAAATCTGGAGGGATGAAGTCCCGTTCGGGGACTGGGAGGGGAGGAAGGTCCGGTCCGTAGAATGGCATCTTTTATGTAACTAGAGATTTATTGAAGTTCTAGTTTGTTCAAATAGCTTATAAATGTTGAAAGGTGTGATAATCAATG